AAATTTTCTAAACAACTCCTTAAAAGAAAAAAACAAAAAAAAAAAAAAAAACAACACACTATGCTAAACCTAACACTTAAAACGGATCTTAATTTTTTCAAAATCTTATAAGTGTCTATTTTCTTTTACTGATAACAATGATATACTTACTATGTCAGCTTGTCCCTACAAATCACCTTCGAAAAGCTAATGAAATAAATCTCACTTTCTTTACAGATATCATGGTTCATTGACAATTTCTATAGTGAAAACAACATTCTTCCATGACCTTAATATGTCTGACTATGCTAATATAGAAATAGCTATAGTAAATGTTTATTTGGATTAAATTCAGAATATATTCATTTCAGCCAAGTTGGTGACATGGTTCCCAGACAAAAACAAGGCAAAATCTCAAGGCAAAATAATAGTAACAACCAGAGGGAAAAATATTTAAACCCCCATTAAACTCATAAATATAGGAGGAAATCTAAGTACTCAAATTCCACTACCAATGAAAGCCTATGTCAAAATAGGAATGACACATTTCTATGTATAAAAGAAAGAAAATACTTTCTTATCAGAGATCCACAGATTTGTGAACAGATATTTACAAAAAAATGTCAGTAAAGTGTGCTCATGGAAATAAATTAAACTAGAAGTGCAAAAACTAACTTGATATCATAGTTCTGCATTCATAGAATCACTAAAAATTTGATGAGATGGTTCTTAATTTCTTTAGTTACTCTTAACCCTATTATGGGAAAATCATAGGCTATACTTATTTTAACAAACAAGGAGATTCCTTTGGACATTACTGCTCCTTGTCAAATGTTTACCATATGCATGAAAGAGTATAATTTATTTTTAAGTCGCCAATATTAAAATAGGAATTGATTCATCTAATGAGTTTCTTCCAAATCAGTATTGTAAGTACCTGGGAGCTAGTATATTAGAAAAAAGACATAAAGGGAGGTGGATAGATCTCCAAATTCCGCATGTGTCAATTTCTCCTGGCTTACAAATTTTACAAAATGTCTCAGAGTTAGAAACACTCTTAATTATGCAGTTGCCTTAAATTTGTTGTGGAAAAAGGTCAGGTATAAATAAATGACATATAGCATCTATTATTCTAGTAGCTGGTATTATTTGCATTAACAATGGTAGATACTTGAAGATGCTTTTTCAGGTTTTTGATCAATAAAAATCCTGGCTATTGAGTCAGTGCTTTCCTGTCTTTAATTCAAGATACTATTTTTATAGTCATTTCTTTTATGTTGGCAAATTTTACTTATTAAGAAATATATTGGCTTGTTTTCAAATTATAATTTCTCATAAATAAAATGCAAAAAAAACCCCACCCAGGATATTCATTTTCAATGTTTTTATTCTCCTTTATGTTCATTAAATCATGATTATTTAGAAATAAGTACTAAAATGCAACTTATTGCCTTGTTCTGTGAAACCAAATTCAAGAACTATATTAAAGCTTGTTATAAAGTCCATAAATAGTTTTGGGTAGTAGAACAAAACTTACTGTTTAGAACATTCTCCAGTTTTTGCGTCATGGATCCTTCTACTTTTTCCGTTCCATCCGCTTCTAGTTTTTGATGGATGGCTACAACAAAATGTCTAGTTAAAATTTAGGCTATTTAAATGGATGGGAATACATTACATTGAAATGACATTTATAAACTGCTTTTCAAAATGGTCATACTATTTTCACTTATGGAAAGAAGCACAAATGTGCAAAAACGCTGCATAAACTCAGCAGAGTAACCAAGAGACACCAGTCTAAATTATTCATAGTTTCATGCTATTAAAATAGTGCATTATACACAAAATCATGTGATCCTGAATGTTGAGTGGTAACAACAGTTTAATTACAAAAGAAAAGTAAGACTTAAGTAAATAATATCTTTGATGTTTGGTCATAGGAAAGTTATACGTATTTCTCGGTTCATCATCTGCTTGCTATTTTTATAGTGATCTCTTTTATGGCAAATTTTATGTACTTAGAAGTATACTGGCTTGCTTTCAAATTATGATTTCTCATAAATAAAATGCAAAAAAACCCTGCAATTAGAAATATTACTATTTGAATTATATCAAGCTAAAAATATTTAATTTCAGTCTTGGGACATAACATGGTAAAATACATATTATTTATGTACTATTCATACTATAATTATTTCACTGGAAGTTCCAAAGAAATATCTAGTGACATCTACCAAAACATCAATTTGTGGATGTAGAAATTACACTGGAGTTTTTTGCCAATATTCATATATGTATACATAATTCTTATAAAGATTATCAGGAAATCACTTATATTTTAAAACTGTTTAGCCTATTGAAAAGGGGAGGTTTCAAACAGAGCAAATCAAGCTTAGGTGAAGCACTTAGGAGATTTTCAAAACAAAATGACCAAATACAATCTCAAATTCAAAACTGTGACATAATAAAAATAATAAACTTTAATTGAACCGTGACCATAAGTTAAGCCCTATGATATTTCTAATGCATACTGCTCTTGTTAAGAGGCCAATGATGCATGTTGTACTATTACTTCTATTTCACAGATGGCTCAGTAAAAATAAATAACTTGGCCAAAGTCTCAAAACCAATCCCAAAATTTGAACTTAAGAATTCTGATCCCAGAACAAAAAAAATTAACCTATCTAAACAGCATCAACTATCTAAGTCTCTATTTTCACATCTTTAAAATGAAAATAATATTTATTATGTCAGTTGTGAATTGAATTCAGTTGCAACTAAAATGACCTCTCTTTAGGTGTTTTAGCTGCTAAAACACCTAAAATTTTATTCTTTCGCATAATTTACTCTAGCAAAAACTCAAATGCAAGATGTGTAACTCCACAGACTTCACAGCCAATAAATACACTGAACTTAACATCACTCTTATGTCAGCTATTCTCCAACTCTTTCCTAAAGGAACTTACTGGTTCTGCTTCAACCCTGCCAGTCATGGGTGGCAGATTTCTGGGAAGAAAAAGTCTGTCTAAGGGAAAAAAATGTGTATTTCTTTTAAACTCTTAAGGAGATAAAAATGTCCAAATATTATACAGTTAAACTAGAAATACTTCCATGTTCGATACAAGCAAATCTGCTCACACTGTTTATTTAAATGTTGCTGTAATTTTCTGACCATCCAGTTGGCACTTCTTGCATTTCACTCAGTAGGCACTGCATGGGGTTTGTCCACAGCAATGAGACATGACACCTTATAGTAGTCCTGCTTCAAATGCTACTTTCTACATCAAAATTAGCATTAAAGAAAATCATTCAGCCACATTTTCTGTTGCTAACAAAACTCATCATTGATCAGCAGGCCAAGACAAGGTGAGCCTGGCTTCCCCTCACCTCCCAGCTCAGCATACAGGCCCTCTCTGCTGACAAAGCAGCTTCCTGACAACCAAGTCCACCACTGCAGAGCCACTGTCAAGCTGTCAGCCAAGCATGAGGACGGAGAGACACAGGGACCTGATAAAGGCTATCCTATTTTTCAAAAAATTAAACTAACTACCCCAATGTTTGGTTCATTTGACCTTTAATTTTCTCTAAAAACATTTTTAAATAGTATAACTCAATAAGCAACTTGCTAAATGATCAGAGGTTTGTTTTGTTTCTAATCTATTGAAACTTAAGCAACTGAATGCCATAAATTTATATTTGAGAAACAAAAATGTATGTAAAAGTTCTACTCAAAGAAAAATCAGAGTTATAGAAAGACTGCCAATTGATTCACTAAAATTATTTTAAATTTCTAGTAAATTGTAGACATCAGATAGGCAAAATTCAATCAAAGTTATCATATTTGTCCATGTATTTATATAATGCCATCTACACTAATAAAAGGATGCAAATGGCTGTGACACCTT